TGTTCTAAATTGGGTGAAATAGTAAATAAAAACGATTGGGAGTTATTCGTTTTTTTTATTCAAAATCTGTTAAAAGTTATGTGCGGAAATAAGCCTTAATGGTTTGTAAAGTGTTTATCAAAGAAGCGTGGGAGTAGTCAGTGTTTCTTTTATTTGGCTGATTCAGTAAATTCTTTCTAAAGATGCACGGATACAATATGAAGCAAAAGCAAGAATAGAAGTTTATAACAATTACATTCACTGTTAGTGATGATAATCCAATGGAAGTATGCCTCTCTAATCGTCAAGGATTTTTCTCTCTTTAGAGACAAATCGGAAAGAGTGTTGTTGTATTATTTGTTTGATGGTTTGTTTGTTTTATATTTGAATTTGGAAAATTTCAATCTCAAGAAATTTTTCACAAACAGAATAAACTAATTTGTATATTTTTTATAAATAAAAAAGACATGAAAGACAATGTCCTTAAACTATGCGTTTGCAAGTAGTGCGCTTTCCACATTAATTTAATTCATGTTTCCATGAATCCAACATGTGCCCATGTATTTTAGAATAAAATATGGCTTTTCTAAAAAAACATACAATAAACATAGCTGTTCCCATTTCAATAACATTACACAAGTCTTTTATGAATGCTTCTTTGTTATTTAAAATTACAAGTGCTCACATGAAACTAGTTGCCACAATTGTATACTTTGAATTGACAATATTTATGAAAGCATCCCATGCATGTCCACAGGACATTTTCATCTGATGCTTAGTCTAATCACCACATTGTTGACATCAGGTGAGGTAAATATGGTAAGCACACAAACCGTATTTCTACATAGAATATAATCAACATTTCTAAGACTCTAAGGACTCTGTTTGGGATTCAAAGCCTTCAGTTTGTAGTAGATCATTCCTTCTAGAGACCACCTTAGCCATCCTTTGGTGTTCAAAATATAGGCAAACAGGAAAGTGGTTAAAGGAAAACTACAAGCATCATAATCACTACAAAACAGTTCACATTTTAAACAGTTTGACTTCTTACTTGAGGTCCATCAGGAATTGCTCTCATCTCCACTATTAATATCAACTGATCATTATCAGCCAATGAGCTAAGCCTTGCACTACAGCTCCTGCTTGGAAACTTCTGCATCTATGATGTTAATAGTTAGACAATGAGTAATACCCATTGGACCACAGATAAAAAGTCAAACCTTTCAAAAATGGTGCACTTCTGGCACCATATCCACTACAGTGAACATAACCACCCTAGTATCCTTTAATATTAATATATACATTAATATAAATTAGTACATGAGCATGTCTTAGAATATTTGTGTGTCTAGGAATATGTACACTGGACAAAATTATAAATGCAACACTTTTGTTTTTGCCCCCATTTTTTATTAGCTGAACTCAAAGATCTACGACTTTTTCTATGTACACAGAAGGCTTATTTCTCTCAAATATTGTTCACAGATCTGTCTAAATCTGTGTTAGTGAGCACTTCTAGTTGCAAGATAATTTATCCACCTGATTAGACAGCATGATTATTGCATAGGTGTGCCTTTGGCTGGCCACAATACAAGGACATTTGAAAATTTTACTTTTACTGTATTGGAGAGGTCTGGGGGGGGTGAGGGCCCAGAATTGGCTGGGGAGGGGGGAAGGGGTCCAAAAACAGTCAGTATCTGGTGTGACCACCATTTGCCTCACGCAGTGCAACACATCCCCTTCGCATAGAGTTGATCAGGTTGTTGATTGTGGCCTGTGGAATGTTGGTTCACTCCTCTTCAATGGCTGTGTGAAGTTGCTGGACATTGGCAGGACCTGGAACACGCTTAAGTATACGCTGATCCAGAGCATCCCAAACATGCTCAATGGGTGACATGTGAGTATGCTGGCCATGCAATAACTGGGATGTTTTCAGCTTCCAGGAATTGTGTACAGATTGTGTACAGAACATGGTGCGGTCCATTATCATGCTGCAACATGAGGTGTTGGTCATGGATGAATGGCACAACAATAGGCCTCAGGATCTCGTCACGGTATCTCTGTGAATTCAAAATGACATCAATAAAATACACCTATGTTCATTGTCTATAACATATGCCTAACCATACCATAACCCCACCGCCACCATAGGCTACTCTATCCACAATGTTGACATCAGCAAACCGCTCACCCACACAACATCCTACACACTGTCTGCCATCTGCCCTGTACAGTGAAAACCATGATTCATCTGGGAAGAGAACACCTCACCAAAGTGCCAGGCGCCATTGAATGTGAGCATTTGCCCACTCAAGTTGGTTACGTTGATGAACTGCAGTCAGGTTGAGACCCCAATGAGGATGACGAGCATGCAGATGATCTTCCCTGAAACGGTTTCTGACAGTGTATGCAGAAATTCTTTGGTTATGCAAACCGATTGTTGCAGCAGCTGTCCGGGTTGCTGCTCTCAGACGATCTTGGAGGTGAAGATGCTGGATGTGGAGGTCCTGGGCTGATGTGGTTACACATGGTCTGTGGTTGTGAGGCCGGCTGGATGTAATGTTTTGAGAGAAATAGGCCAATTGTGTACATAGAAAACGTCTTAAATCTTTGAGTTCAGCTCATGAAAAATGAGGGCAAAAACAAAAGTGTTGCGTTTATAATTTTGTTCAGTGTATATGCGTATGTCTGCGAGTTTGTATGCCCCATGCATGTATTTGTGTGTATGCAAGTGTGCCTGAGTGTGCTTGTGTACCTGTTTCTAGAGTTTTTGAAGGAATTAAAATATTTCTGATGACAACCCTAACTACTCAGACTATGCAAAACACTAAGAAAGTTTACTGTACAAGTTTGCTTGTGTGGGGTGTTATAATGAATGGTTGCTGACAATTTCCTTACATTTATCCCCAATTAAAAATCTGGTCTGATCCTCAGAGACATGTTCAGTTAAAATCCTTCTAAAATGATCAACTTGGATTATTTAAAACCTGCCTGTCTTGAATTAACAGAAAATACAGTAATTTAAGCAGGCTCCTCCAGGAATTTGCCATTTTTTAAAGAATCAATTATATTAAAACTTAATTAAAGAAACTGAGCCTGTTCTCTTTTACATAATTGTACATATCAATCAATGCCTGGGTATTTCCTATGGCAGATTTGACATTCGTCTACATAATGCTACTGGGCAAATAACTTTAAGTTTGCTATTTATGAATATTGTACAGTAGAAGAGACACAAACACTTTTTTTTTTTTTTTACTGGTTTATCCTATTAAATGGAACTTATTAAAGCTAAAGGAGGAGTGTGTAAGTCAGGCACATTATATAAGAGGATGTTAAATTTGGAGCTGCATAGATTAGCATATTAACCGCAAGTATGTGTTTACTGTTTGTAGAGTTCTAGGTTCCTATATGCACAGTGATGATTGTAAGCAGGGCCGGCCCGACCATAGACCACGATGGAGCCATGGCTCCAGGCGGCACTCTGACAGGGGCAGCATTTTGCCGCCCCGTTCGTTATCTAATAAAGTAATAAACATTTGGGGAAAGCATTCGCTTTCCATGATCAGCTGTTCCGCCAGTGCGGGAAGTAAGGCCACTTCAAAATTCTAATAAGTCAGGGGCGTCGTGAACAGGGTGAAGGGTTTGCCTGGGCATTCAGGGTTATGGGAAGGTTCAGCACTGAAGTTCCGTTGCATTACCTGCAGTGCAAGCCAGAACGTCAGTGCTCACTTTGCTGTCAGGTGCTGCGGCAGAGCTGCAGAGCATCAGAATTCCACTTCGTGTCTGGCATGCTGACCACCCACAGGGCAGCACAGACCGCAGGACACGGAGCTCCCTAATGCAGGTGCCGGCAGACAGGAGTCAGGCAGCAGCGATGGGGACGTGATGAGCATGGTAAGGGTAAGTTTCATGTGCACAGTGTGTTGCACATAGTAAGCCAGACCCACCAAACTAATAGACACACTTAACTCAGACACACACTACACTTCACCCCCAGCACTCACACAGACACACACTTCATCCCCAGCACACACACAGACACACAATGCATCCCCAGCACACACACAAACACACATACTATCATCTCAAGACTGATGCCCCATTCTTTCTGTAGTGTGCAACCACCAGCATTGGCCCTTCTTAAGAAAAAGATACAAATGGGTGACACTAGGATTATGTCTAATATATAGTAAATATTCTCTTTAGCAGTGAGATATAAGGCTCTTGTCACACATTCAGCTCTTGTCACACATTCAATTATGCCTTTTCGTATTAATTTACCATGTAATTGCATGACCATGTTAAATATTTTTTATGAAAGAGATAAACATTTGTTTCTCAACATCTGAGTGAATGAAGCTAATTATAGTGCTTGATGACTCTGTCAGAGATAGTGACCTCTGTATGGTATGCATTGTTGGCAACCCACTGTATGAGGAAAACGAGAATAATGTAAGTTGTCAAAAAAGAAAGGCAGGCATTAATTCAGTCATTTTGTGGCAGAGAAGCTGGGAAAAAAAGATAATTAATAAACAAATAATAGTATTAAATCAATTCTTTAATGAAACCACCCAGCTTTTACAGCTAAAGTAAGGAACATTAAGTTAAGTTATCCTTGGTGTTTAGATGCCCCCCTTTATCTATTGTTAAATTGCAACTCCCATTAATCTCTGTCAGCTTGATTTGAGCCTGCAGGGCTATAATTGAGCATTAATATGACACATTGAGATTTTTTATTTGGTGTTAATTACTATTTTAATATAGATCACGGGAGCTTTTAGATGTCTTAACACACAGCAGGATATTTACTAACAGAATAGCAACAATAATTTAATTGCATATTAGCAGCTGCTAATTAAACTTTCCTTAACCCCCAGGCACTTGGACAAATTTGGTGCATATTAAAGTTCATAGTAAAATAATGGTTAACTTCCCTTCCCCTTGTCTATCTGACCAGGTCGGCTGTCTCTTTTCTTGACATCACTCTCTAAATTCTTCATAGAAAACTGAATTGCAAAGTTGGCCAACATGTATATCTCTTGCTGTTTGGGTATGGCAGTTTACGGCGGCACTGTCACTTAAATATTCTTTATGAAAAGCCCATAATGACTATTTTGTCTAGTGTATGATGGTAATCACCTTGGGCAGACTACATCTTACATGAAGCACAACAGATGGCTATAGCATCTCACTGCACTAAAGCAAGATTATCTATGGAAGATAGAGTTTTGGGGATCTTCCACCATCCTCATTTTGTACTTGCACACGTACAAAATTACAATACATGTATCCAATGTCGTATCTATAAAATTCTAAAGGGAATGGAAATTCTTCACAAGAGATTGCATATGACAGACTTCATATTTTTACTTCATGATTAATCTGGATTTTTTGTTATGTATGAGCTCTAGCCTCCCATCATGTCCACTATGATAACAGTGGACCTTTCACAGTGCAGTAAAAGCTGGGATCACTCTTTAGGCCTTTTTTCCCCCCAAAGGAGACTAGACATATTTCCCTGTTTTTATGCATTTCCTTAAAATAAGGCCTCGTCTTAAGCCGTTCATATAACATTTCACAACGCTTGCTTTTTGTTTGTTTTTCTAAACTCCTTTTAGGGCATCTGGAAAAATATATAAGACAGTTGACTCAGAGAGCTTGATTTCCAGTTACATTGTGACACAGGATTTCCAAATGATTCAAAGCTGTTAGAAAAAAAGTCAAATTATTTATCTACAAAAGTTTCTATAGATGTTAACGTTGACTTCTGTAGACAAATTATCTGGAAAGTTTCTCTAACATTGGTTGAATAATTTGGTAAACTGTCATCATTCACGTAATTTTCCCTCCCGCTCTTGTTTTGCCATTTTTTTTAAATCCGACGCACTTTGGAAATTCGGAAATTCAGCAATTCGAACCTCAGACATTCGTAAACATCCGAAGTTCTGAATTTTATGAAATTCGTCCGAATGTACATTCGGAACGAAACAAATTGCACATGTCTATTTCTTATTCTTGGTGAAGCCCACAAAAGGGCAGATGGCCCCCAAACCTACTTTAAGTAGGTGGATAGTGACTGCAATTATTAAAGCTTATGAGTCACAAAATGTTCATGTCTCTGAGGGCATTATGGCTCATTCGACTACGTATCTTTTCTTTGTGGGCAGCTGCAGAGAATATTCCTCTCAAGAGCATTTGCAGGGCAGCAACTTGGGTTTCAGATAACACATTTATGAAACGTTATTATATTGACGTTAGGGCTTCTAAGGACTCTAAGTTTGGTCATGAGGTCCTCAATTATGTTATTTATAATTAAACTTTATGTATTTGTAAATGTGTTTCGTGTATATTTTGTATCTTGTGTATCTTTTGTGTATCTTGGGTCCTACCCTGTATAAGCAGGTTAGTTTGGCCATTACCTATTAGTGATGCTGCCATGGATTATTCAGGAATAAGGAAAATGTATTCATACTTACCGTAATTTTCTTTTGCTGGATAGATTAATGGCAGCATCAGTTACTCTGCCTTTTTCTCTACTTCATGGATGTTTTACTGCACTGGAGGTTAGGAGAGGGAAGGTCTCTTTTATAATCTTTATTTCTATTTCCTGTCTTGTTAGCAAAAATGGAGGAGCTACCCATTAGTGATGCTGCCATGGATCTATCCAGGAAAAGAAAATTACGGTAAGTATTACCGTATATACTCGAGTATAAGCCGACCCGAATATAAGCCGAGGCCCCTAATTATTTTACCACAAAAAACTGGGAAAACTTATTGACTCGAGTATAAGCCTAGGGTGGAAAATGCAGCAGCTACTGGTAAATTTCTAAATAAAATTAGATCCCAATAAAATTACATTAATTGAATATTTATTTACAGTGTGTGTATAGAATGAATGCAGAGTGTGTGTTGTGTGTGTGTATAATGAATGCAGTGTGTGTTTGTGTGTTGTGTGTGTATATAATGAATGCAGAGTGTGTGTTTGTGTGTATATATAATGAATGCAGTGTGTGCGTTGTGTGTGTATATATAATGAATGCAGTGTGTGTGTTTGTGTGTGTATATAATGAATGCAGTGTGTATATAATGCAGTGTGTGTGTTTGTGCAGTGTGTGTAAACTGGGTGAGGGGAGGGCATTTTAATTTTAATTTTTTTATTTTAATATTATATTATTTTATTATATTATTGTAATAATATTATGTTATTATTATATTATTATTATTTTAATATTTGCATTATTTTTTTTTTAAAATGTTTTTTTGTCCCGCCTCCCTGCTTGTTGCCTGGCCAGGGAGGAGGGACAAAAAATATTTAAAATAAAATTAAAATAATAATAATATAATAATAAAATATTGTTATTAAAATAATATAATATTAAAATAATAATATTACTATATTATTATTATTTTAATATTTGCATTATTTTTTTTTAAATGTTTTTTTGTCCCCCCTGCCTGGCCAGGCAACAAGCAGGGAGAGGGGACAAAAAATGTTTTTAAAAAAAATAATGCAAATATTACAATAATAATAATATAATAATAAAATAATGTTATTATTTTAATATTATATTATTTTAATAATATTAGTAAAATAAAATAATATAAAAATAATAATATCGAATCCCTGGTGGTCCAGTGGCATTGGCATAACCTCGTGTCCTATGTAAAGTCCGGTTTGTGAATAGATTTCCACACAATGGTTTGTATTGGCCCCAGATATATTTATATAATATCATATCCCCTCTGAGGCGACGTTTTTCTAAACTAAAGAGGTTTAAATTTGTTAACCTTTCTTCATAGCTGATATGTTCCATTTTTTTTATTAATTTTGTAGCCTGCACGTTTTCTAGTGCCATAATATACTTCTTTAGAACAGGTGCTCAAAATTGCACTGCATATTCAAGATGTGGTCTAATCAGTGATTTATAAAGAGGCAAATGATATTCTCATCCCGAGAATGAATGCCCTTTTTCATGCATGACAATACCTTACTGACATTGCATATTGTTGCATAGTTTGTTGTCTATAACAATTTCCAAGTCCTTTTTGTGAGTTGTTATCTCTAATTAGCTTCCATTAAGGGTATACGTTGCTTGTGCATTCTTTACGCTGAAGTGCATAACATTAAATTTCATCTGCCATTTGAGTGCCCAGTCTATCTAAATCCCTCTGCAGCCAAGTAATATCTTGCTCACATTGTATTACTTTACAGAGTTTTGTGTCATCTGCAAACACTGAAACATGACTTTCAATTCTTATTTCAAGATCCTTTATAAACATGTTAAATAGAAGGGGTCCCAGAACAGAACGCTGAGGGACACCACTTGCCACCTCTGTCCAGCTTGAAAATGTACCATTAATGACAACTCTTTGTACTCTATTTTTAAGCCGAAGCAGAGGAGGCACTCTAATTAGGCTATTTAGGCGGCCGCCTAAGGCCCTGTGCAAACTGGGGCCTCACGGCCGCCAAAATCGTCTTAGGGTAGACTGACATGTTGGGTCCTCAGTCTGTGACGGAGTACCCAACACAGGTTGTGCCGCCAGGTGGAACACCCCTCCATTCAGTCTGCCCTGGGAGGAAAGCGCCCTGTACAGCCTCTGGTCAGCAGCTCCTCCGGGTGCAGAGTTGCAAACTGAGGTGTTTCGTGATCTCCAACAAATCAGAGCGTTGCCGCAGGTTACCACAAAATGCTCTGATACTTCTGGAGATCGCAAGATACATACCACGTGGTTTGCAGCTCTGCATCTGACGGAGCTGCAGACCAGATGGGAATCCCCAGGACCACCAGGGGAATGAATCCGGGATAAAAAGTACGTTTGACTACCCACCTTATACACACAATGCAATCCTATTTATTTTATTTAGTGGTGGCCTCATGTTTGATTTTTGCCTAAGGCCTCACAAAGTCTAGAGCCGCCACTGTACCCAAGAACAAGAATTTTCATCTAGACTGATTTCTTTGAGTTTGAACACTAATCTATTGTGTGGGACTGTATCAAATGCCTTGGCAAAATCCAAATAGATCACATCCACTGCAACACCCTGATCTATACTTCTACTTACTTCTTTGTAGAACGCAATCAAGTTAGTTTGACATGACCTGTGCTTCATAAAACCATGATGATTTTTGCTGATAACCATGTTCTTCTCAAGGAATTCTTGAATATTATTCTTTAATAACCTTTCAAATACTTTTCCAGCCACAGAAGTTAAGTATGAATAAATTTTTCATAATTAATATAGATTATTATCCATTTGTGACTAAATGGTGGGGTCCTTCATGTGTCTTGATGTCTTTTATTTACATTTTTTCCCCCCAATTCTTATTTTTACAGTATCCAATAGTATCCAATAGAACAGAAAGAAGAATTCAATCAATTTGGACAAAACAAAAAATCTAAAGAAGCAAGTGAGCGCTGTCCTCTAAAAGAATACATAGCTCCCTATGTGTTTAAATGTAATGCAAAGCAAAGATATACCCCAAATGCATGTCACATAGAGCACCCTGTATTAATAAGGTTTTTATCGATGGAAAGTAAAGTGAAAAACAGAAACATAACAAATTGATCAACAATTGTGTTAGTTTGTGGGTGGGGGCCGGCGGGGAGAACAATAGGTCCCTTTCCCATCATTTTACTTTAGTGCCCACACACGCCGCTCAGGGGTGGGGCCAGAGGGGAGGACATTAGGTCCCCCCCTTTATCATTATTTAGGGCCCTCACCCGCCGCTCAGGGGTGGGGGCCAGGGGAAGGCACTAGGTCCCCCCTTATTCTAATTTAGGGCACGCACCGCTCAGGGGTGGTGGCCAGGGGGGAGGACAATAGGTCCCCCTATTTTTTTACTTTAGGGCCCTCACCTGCCGCTCAGGGGTGGGGGCCAGGGGGGTGGACATTAGGTCCCCCCCCTTATTTTAATTTAGGGCACCCACCCACCGCTCAGGGGTGGGGGCCAGGGGGGAGGACATAAGGGGTGGGGGCCAGGGGGGTGAACATTAAGTCCCCCCCTTATTCTAATTTAGAGCCCCCACCCACCACTCAGGGGAATTTGCCAGGGGGGAGGACATTAGGTCCCCCCTTATTAGTATTTAGGCCCCCACCCACCGCCCAGGGGTGGGGGCCAGGGGGAAGGACATTAGGATGGGGGGGACCTTTTTTTTTTGCTCACTGTTTAATAGACATGCCCCTTTTTACTTAGTATTAGTAAATTTGTCTGAAAGACCAATTTAGGTCCTTCAGCCTTTT